GTGTAGGTTTTTATTTTTGGAAAACGCTTATTACCATAGCGCTTTTCTAAGATATTTAATTCTTTCTGTTTCAAGTATATTCGTATTCAATTTTGCTTCCTTTATTCTTCCATGTTGATTCCATGTAAGGAATTAGTATGGTTTATTGATTTTCTACACTCCTTTTGATGTAGATTCTGGATGATTTATAAAAGTTTTGTTAAATATTTGGAGCAAGCTCAAAGTATTATTAGTACTATGACTGCTTTGTAGGTTCTGAAATTGTATCAGTATGTTTAGAAACTAATTGGAACTTCGAAACCTTTGCACCCAATTTCCAAAGATGATCTTTAAATTGAAGTGGTGGACAGTTTAACATTTAATAATTTACATCAAGCACCATGATGCAAAAGCTAAGTATTTCTTTATTGAGTTCTATAAATATGTCCAATAATTTCAATTGCTTTTCCAACCTTTTACCCTTTAGAGGATTACTTTGAAGATAACTTTGTTATTTTTTTTTCTTTTGTTTTTTTTTATTCGTAACTAATATAATTGAATTCTTGCCTTGCAGGATGCTTTGCCAGTGAAAGAGATGAATCCTGCAGAGCAGCACTGCAAGATGGCTGATGTTGTGCTATGTCTGGGAACTAGGTAAGCGGTAGCATACTATAGAACATGCAATAATTTATCCTTTTGGTTGCCTAATATTTTCACCTTGGTTAATAGCATCCGTTAAGTTGAATATTTAGTTAAATCTAACTAGATTTTATCTTGGTAGATTGTTGCTCCCCAGACTAAAAAAGAAAACTGTACCATGTGCAATAGTTTTTCACCATTGTGATGTACGGGGAAGAGTTGATGAACACAATGTTTTCCTTGCATCGCAGAAAGACTATTTCTATACTTCGAATCATTAATTTTTTGATCAAAATGGCGGCAGCCTAACTCTGCTCCCTTCGACGCTCTAATAGGATTCACAGAAAGTAAATGGGGACTGTTTCTTTTGCATGAGGCTCATAATAATGCGAAATTTAAGAATGGGGTACTGATTTAGTGTTGGCCTATTTGATGTGACTGACTTGAACCCACACACTCTTAACTTCAATATTATGATAAAGGCACTTAATCCACGCTCTACTATGTACTCATACTTATAAGAACCAAGTCTAATCCGTTTATCTGTAGTTTGTTCTCATTTTAAAATTCATTGCTTCTTGTACATGAACAAGGGATTGAAAGAAATTTTTTTCTCCTTTTGTTTGGCCAGCTAGTACAAACTTGCCCCAGATCTATGGTTGGATGAATTAACAAACTTGTAATTATATCTACTTTTAAAATGCATCACTTAGAATAATATTGCAACACTATATGAATAAATACAAATTCAGAATTTGTGCACTTATAGGCCCTCATTATGACTCACAACAATGCCATATATGTGGTTGTTGGTCAAAATCATGATTTGCTATAGCTATTGAGGTGGGACATATATTGATAGAAAAAAAGAAGTCTTTAGATAGTATTGGCTTACTCAAGTAGTTTAGCATGATAAATATTGGTGAATGTGGTTCCTTTCAAAGAAAACGAGATCTATTAAGTGGTATGCTTGTTATTATTGTTTTGAGGAAATGAATTGTCATGCTGGCGATATCTGTTGAGGTTGTAGGCTCAGTTGGGATTGCATGTGATTGGGAAGGCGGTGTATGATCATATATGGTAGGAGAAGAAGGGAATAAGGCAATGTCATGATCATATGAAATCTAAAATAAAAAAAAAACCTCAATGCTTATTTCTTCATGAAGTAATTCTTTGATGTAAGAACTTCTGCTTTGATACCATTTGATGACAAACATTAGAAGTGAAGATATAGATGAATCTAGGCATATTACAAAGAAGGGAGGAATCTATGAAGAAAAAGTTGGATAGGAAAATTGGAGAACATAGAATAGCGGTGTAAACAAGTCCAACCAGGCTCGATTCATGAAGGCAACAAAATAGTTTACATAAGAAATTGCTTATAGAAGTGTCAAATTTATGATCAATTTAATAACTTTAAGTAATTATAGTATGCTTGAATATTTTTTGAAGTTTGAAGGCTTCGCTTCAAATGTTATTTGGCCAGAGTTTATTTTTACATTACTACTTATTTTATTAATGAACTTAGGTAAAATATCTAGCTTGATTTAAGCCAAAATTCTCCAATGATAATAACGAGACATTATAGAGCTTTGGTGACACGGAGTCTGATTGCAAAAACCGCAATCCGATGGGAAATCTGTGATATTGCAGATTGCTAGTAAATCCCACGGCCCATGCGGGTGCCGAGTCGTAGTGCTACCTGATTTCAAATTTGAGCTTTTCTTTTCCTTTTTTTTTTCTTTTATTTCTTTCTTATTTCTCTCTTCTAATTAGGGTTTCTTTTTAGTAGGGGACTATTTATATTTTTATTTTCTTGTTTTGAGGACTTTTGGATATTACTATGTTATTTGGAGCTGTTTTTTCCTAGTTTTCTCTATCAGAGTGCTTTATTTTTTGATTTCTTTCAGATGGTGTGTTTTTAGCCTGATTATGTGGTGATTTCTCCTGGAAGTTTGAAGACCTCCATCGTTTAACTTGCAACAAACTGCGGTTTTTCCTTCCATGTAGCTATCCCACTTTCATCCATGTTAGAAATTCAGTTGTCATCCCTTCTTGCACTTTCCTTACCCATCCTACCCCATATCTATTCATTTTTTTTATTCTTTCACACCTTCTAGGAGCCCTCTAATGGTATCATCTTGTATTAGAGCTCGACAAACCAAATTTTTTTTTATTTGGTGTTTTTACACCTACCATATCTTCCACCAATACCCAAACCATTCCTACCATAATTTTTAGCCCCAAACCTAAAATTTTCATAATCCAACTTTCCTACATCCACCAAAATTTTACTTTGACGCCTACTACCAAAACCTAAGTCCCCAACTAACCTTAAATTGTAATCCTATATCCGTCAAAAATCTAATATAAAGGAAATGATGTCATGCTGCCAAAGAGAAAGCCTCAACAAGGTATTCAAAAACTTGCTATGGAGGATATGAAGCAAAAAAACCTCTAGCTACAATTAATCTTTGTCACCTTTGAAAGTAGACAATCCAATGATGTCGCCCATAGCCACAATGGTGATTCTAGATTGAGTGAAGGAAGTAAATCCATTTCATCAAATTTTTTCAATGATGAACCAATACTCGGCAATTTGGCTTGAAATATCAAATGGTCATAAACTTGGATTAAAAGTGGATTTATCATATTTTGACGGTCGTATGAATCTGGATGAGTTCATTCAGTGGTTCTAGATAGTAGAATAGGACTTTGAGTATCAGGATATTGGCAGAAGGATTAAGTTAGTCGCTATTAAGTTAATGAAGAATATTTTTTAATGGTGGGAAAATTTAAAATGCCTACACCAATGAGAGGGAAAAAGTAAAATTACTACCTAGTCCAAGCCAAAAAGAAAAATAGCAAGTACCCATCAACACATTACATACAAGACATGTTTCTGAGACTTCATTAGTTACAACAATAAGATCTCTCAATAGAAAAAGTACCCACTCATCTGAGTTCGAGTAGTTTATGTTGAAGTGTGAGCTAGTGGAGCTCGAGGAGAATACCATAGCTCAATATCTTGCGGATTGAGATCATCCATTGGCAACATAATATAATTGCAAATTTATTGGATATTACAAGATGTCTATGCCCTAGCCTTGAAGGTGGAGAGACAATACAACGGTAGTAGGTTTACACCATCTAGTGATTCAAGTTGAGCCTATGATAGAGACTCCAATAGGATTAACATTGATTGTCTTAGAAGATAGTTAATTTGAGGAGCCAATACTAGAAAAGGGACGACACTTTTTGAAGGAGATGTCAGATATGTTGACTGTTAGTTTACCTCTTGATGGCTATCACTGAGAGATATTCAACATATCATAGACCTCATTCCATGATCTTTTCTGTTAAGCCAACTCGCTTATGGGATGCAACCAGTCGGGTACGAGAAATTATAAAAATATGTTACACACTGGAGGGTTAGATGCTTGATTTGTGAGAGTACTAGTCCAGATGCTGCTCAAGCTTTGATTGTGCCAAAGAATGATGGTTATTTGTTATACCAGGGTAGACTTTGGATGGACTCATGTATTTTAGAGTTGTCTTTGGTAGACGCGAGCATAGATTTAGTAGTAGAGTTTCCCTAGCCAAAGGTAAATCACTTGTAGAAGCCTCTAGAGAAAGAAGGCCCTCTTAGCCTGGGAGTATGACGTGGAGCATCTAATTGTGGAAACCACGATCTGATCACAAGAAATCCGTGATATCACGAATTACAAGTAAATCCCGTGATTTGCGCTGGTGTCGAGTTGTAATGTCGCTCAATTTTAAATTCTAGGCACTTTTTTTCTTTTTTGATTTTTTTCTATTCCTTTCTTCTAATTAAGGTTTTTTTCTAGCAGAATGGTATTTATATGTTTTTTTCTGTTTTGAGGGCTTTTGGCTATCATTATATTATTTGGAGATAATTTCTTCTTGTTTTTCCTATTGGAATACTTATATTTAAATTTATTTCAAGCGGCGTGTCTGTAGCTTGATAGAATTGAAGCGGTGATCACTTTTGGCCGTTTGAAGACTTCTTCCGTCACCCCACTTGCAACAAACTGCTTTTTGTAGCAAAAAATTGTTGTTTTTCATTCCAGTTAGCTATCTCGTTATTATCCAACATGAAATTCAGCCGTCATCCCTCCCACTTTTTGACTCATCATACCATATATCTATCCATTTCTTTTATTCTTTCACACCTTCTAGGAGCCCTAAAATGATATCATTTAGAGCTTGCGAAGTATTATAATTATCTTTCTATTAGGGCTACGACTACCTCGAGTATTTTTTAGAAAAAAATCTTCTTTCTTACCTAAAGCAGGTTATATACTCACCAAAAAATAGAATCATATATGTTTAAATTTGATCCTATTATTGAAATCAAAGTTCATGAATTTTCTTTAAATGATTTAAATGCATATACAAAGTTTACTATTACATAATGATCTTAAATCTAATTTTTGTTAATTATGAATTTACGTTGAATTGTATACCGAAAATATTTGTGAACCTAAACACAAAGTTGAATACTAGTTAAAAAAGAATTAAAAAGTGAATTTAATAATAAGATTATTTTTTATTCTAAACCTCAATTAGATTATGAATTCTCTTTAATTTAAAAATTGAAATCATGTATGCTGTTGAAGATATATCAATTCAACAATATATTGATGTAACTTTAGATAAATTATCTGTTGTATATGTTGATGCTGATGAATTAATTAAACAATATGATAATGTAACTCTACATTAATTTTCTGCTGGGATTATTTTTATGACTTGAATCAATTTGGTATTGATTTTTTTTATTGTTCTTGATTTATAAACTCATAAAATAAGAAAAAGAGAAGTCAAACTGCATCAGCATTTTTGAAAGCTTTTAATTAACTTTTGGTTTTAGAAAATGTGAAAAATAAAAATTCCTTCCATCAGGTTGAATTCAAATTCACATAACTTATGATGACTATTCTTTAACTACTTGATTTTTTTTTCTTTTCTTTAAAGATGACGTGCATTCATTTGATAGACTCATCATATTAATTGTTTTTCAATTATTAGAATACAATTTTTTTGGAACCTAATAAATATAAAATTTAAGTTTTCTTCAACATCTCCTCCTTAAGAATTAGTTTGTGTATCAATGAAAAAGCATATAATTAATTTAGTATCATGTTATGTTGATTATCCATTAATAATATGGATGATTTGCTTGCAATGTTTGCAGGAAACTTGTTAATTATGATAATTATAATTTTATTGAAGATGTGAATGTAAGATTTGTGAAATCCAAACTTAGTGATATGATACATATTGGCGTGTTTACATTTTGATGGTTTCTTATAGAAATCTTGAGAAGCTAACAACTAGAAAAATGAAACTGTATAAAGCCCTACAAAAAATTGGGATATATGCTTACAATTTATAGATTTCAGAATATTTTAGTTTAGGTTCAGCTTTTAAGGTATCATATTTATCGTTGTATATCATATGTCTTCAACAAATTCCTTGGCTTCTCCTGTTTTCTACACTTGCTCTTTGTTGTTCCTTTATGTTTCCATGACCATTCTATGTTTTTTTTGTTGACGGCTTCTTTTTTTTGTGGAGTCGATGATACCGGAGTTTAACCCAAAACATGACGTAAGACATGAATTTATTAATAACTTAAAAGAAGGGTACAATATGATTGTCGAATTCCGAAAGGATTACAAACATGACACTAGAAAAATAGGAAGTAAATGACAAACAACACGCAACACAAACAAATAAAGACTACCCAACGGCTGGCTGGTGGTCGGCGAGGAAAATAGCGATTGGAAGGGTTCTTTAGGGAAGCATAGGATTGGTGGCCTGCTAGCTGGTGGTAGGCGGCTGCTTGGAGAGCCAGACGGGTGTTGAGAAGAGTCGGATGGACTGTTGGAGGGTGGTTGGTGAGGGAGACAGCGGCTGGAAGGAGTCCCGAGGGAAGTAGCAGAGCTGACAACAGTAGGGTAGGGGTTTGCAGTTGTAGGAAGAGAGCTGGGAGGTGGCAAGCACCTGTAAGCGAGGGCTGTGGTTGCTATAGGAGAGTTGGGAGGTGGCTGGCAGCTGTATGGGAGGAGTTGCGGGGCTGTAAGAGAGCTAGGAGGTCGTTGACAGCTATAGGGGAGAGGCTGCAGGGGTTGGGAGATGGAACGACAGTTGTAGGGGAGGAGCTGTGGGGGCTGTAAGATGGAACGACAGCTGTAGGGAGGGCTGTGGTTGTTGTAGGAGAGCTTGGAGGTGGCTGACAGCTGTAAGGGAGAGGCTGCGGGGGCTGGGAGATGGATCGACAATTGTAGGGGAGGAGCTGCAATGGTTGTAAGATGAAATAACAACAGAGGAGAGGAAGTATGGCAAGATAAATATCTCGGTGGGGTCAAGATACAGCCGGAGTACCACGCGGACTCGTGGAGGCGATCACCGCCTCGGACAAGGGACAACCGGTGTACTACCTTGAAGTTGGATACAACCCTCAAGAGGGAAAACACTCAGATAAAACTGAATTTAGATTTCATAAAACATCTTCTAACTCAAAGCACATCCTCTCCTATTTATAAAGAGCATAACATATCTCAGGAAACACTAAAATAAGGATAATAAATTCAGATTTCAGATTTGAGGAAATAATTTAAATTAGGAAGGAGAATAAAAATTAGATTTTAGTTTTAGGAAAGATTTTAAATTAGGAAAGATTTTAAATTAGGAAAGATAATAAAAGATCAGATTTCAGTTTTATGAAAAGCTTTTAATTAGAAAAGGCCTTGAAAGGAAAGTAAGAAAAGAAATAAAGGAAAGTAAGAAAAGAAATAAGGGTAAAAGGAAAGGAGGGAAGAGGAAGAAGGAAAACCTCCGTGTCAGTTGATCTTCTGTATGTATGGTTCATGAGGATATCCTTCTTCAGCCGTGTTGGTTTTCCTTATCATGCATCCCTATTGAGCTTTTACTATGAGATTCCTTGTGATATCGCAACTAAACTTTGTCATTCGTAATCTTTTGTTTTGCTTTTATCGTGGTATCCCTTGCCTACAATTTTTTATTGTAAGTAGTGGCTAGAATTCCAGATTTCATGCCAACAACTCTATGTGATTGTTTGTTTGATTTTATCAATGGAAAATTTTAAAGGAAGCTTTGCGGTTATGAGTAAGTCTTTGGCATGCACAAAAGAAAAAAAAAAGTTTTAATGTTAGTTGGATATGTTATTCCTTTTGCTTCCAAGTGATGGAAGGTTCTTTTACAAGCATGAGATTTACTTCTTTTCATGGTAATTTTTTCATGGTTCTAAATTTTGTTCTTAGTTTGGTCATGTGATTGATTTACTCAAATTTGATATAATGTGATTTTTGAAGGGTGCATTAATTTCATTTTGCCACGTGTATTCCTTCATTTTGAAATTCTATATGTTATTTGATTAGTTCTAGTAGAAGGCCATTGGTTCTTTTTTTTTTTTTTGGTATGAATCCATTATTTTTTTTTTGTTTTCATCAAAATCAGTAAACAATTGAATGTTCTTAATATTTGATTTGCATAAGAATCCTCAAACCTAAGATGGCATATATTAGTAGATCATGAGCGTTTGGTACGATAAAGTCATGGCTCGCTTACAGAAAATGGAGTCAATACTCCATGTATTTAAAATCTTATCATTTGGCCCTTTGTGCTTTTTCTAATGTATAAATTGCCCCTAGAGTCAAATTTTGTTTTTATAGAGATTTTTTTTTAATAATTTTAAATTTTCTGTTAATTTCATTCACGTAACAAAACTTTTGACATAGTTTGAATGCTAATTTTTTTAGCAACATATCCCTATATATGGTACTATATTGGCTCCCAAGATAAAATGCTGATCTTTCCTGATGTACTTTATTTTCATATGGCTTGCAAGTTTATGAATTCATGGGTTGATGTGTGCCTCAAAAGGTGGAGTTGCACCATAGTTAAAAAGCTTACAAGCTTCAAGCAAGCTAATTGAATACACATGAGATTGACTTGTAGCTAATTTTATTGCCAACCTCATATTTGTGATCAAGATCTCTCGCGCTTATTTAAGGTGGGACCAAAGATTATGGTATTGACCAGCTTCTCATCTCCTGGAACCTTTTATTACATGGATACTTTAGGAATCGATGGTAACAAATTGTAGTCCCCATTATTAGTGATTGGATCATTATTCTTGACACAAAGTCTAAGGTTGAAGATGATAGTGATGCCTTTCTAGTGGTGGAATTTAGGTGGAAAAAAAGAGAAATAAGAAGACCATCGCTCGTGCTCTCATTAAAGTCATGAGAGGAGTTGTTGACATCTATGAAGCTTCAACACTTGAATTGAAATGTGTTATCATCGGTTTGCATGAGCTTGCTTGGTCTCATGAATTTTTTTTTTTAAGTGCGGGCTCGTCAGATTTGTGGCAAAACTTAAGGTAAACACAACTGTCACCATTAGATGAATCTACGATGAATATTTTTCTTATTAGAACTGCAAGTGGGAGGAAAGATGAGGAAGGTCAAGGGTTTTTGGGATTGTACTTTTGATTAATGTCTTTGTTATTGGAACGAACTCCTTGGAAGAAAATTTTGTGTGATGAATCAAAATAAAAGGTTTTTAAGCATATTGACCACGTTGGGTGCCTCAGATTTGCCAGGGATCTAAGTGTAATTTAACTTCAAATTGGTCAAATTTTATATGAGACACTAATGGAATAAACTCTGGGACTTGGAATAAATAATAGTTATTTAAAAAAAAAACTTCTGGGACTTTAAATGGCTCATTTGGTTTTTTGAATTTTTTTGTGTCATTTTGCATTAAATGCTCAATTCTGTGTTAGTTAAGTTAGCATAATAATATATTTCTTCAATTTGTGTCATGAAACTCATTGATTAGTGCGATATCTTTTTCAATGTTACATTGCACCAAAACATTTCTCATCTCGTCCTAAGTTTCATGGCGCGTATTGACCAGAGTTTGTATTAGTATAAAATTGGGTTAAAAGTTCTCTAAATTTAAATAAAATCTTTTATGGATGTCCCATAATTTTTTCACTGTATCAGTTTTCTTTTGTAAATCCTTTTAATGATACAGAGCCTAAGCAGGCTATGGCCAATCAATTAAATGAGTCACATACAAACATTCATATGAAATTTCTGTCTAATCAGACTAATATTTTATATGATACTTTTTTTTCTATTTATTTTCCTATTGGTAAAACCTTTCAATTCAATCTCCATAGTGGCTTAAGTTCCTGAAACAATTTTTTTAACATTTATTTTTTTTTTTTGAACTTTTTATTTCTGTTCAGTAAACTATAACCTCATAAATTGAATTTTAGCTAAGATGTAATTTAGATAAAATATATTTGCTGTATTCAAGTTTAAGTGAGGTAAATATTAGATTACCAATCTCCACAATTTTGCTCATAGGCCTCATCAAGATTTCAAGTCCTTTTAACTTTGTAGGTTTTTCATATTAAGGGCCTGTTTGAAATGATATATTAGAAACCTATTGATAAAATATTTCTTGTTCGCTGCAAACTTTTGGGGTTTTGATGTTTTCATCCAATAATTTATAGCTTATTTACGGGCTTCTTGTAAATTTCATTTGTTAAATTAAAGATCTAAAGTATTTAGCTTTTTTTTTTAATTATTATTTTTGCATTACATATGCTTTTGGGATAGCCTTCTATTTTTATTTTTTATACTTTATTTTATTTCTCGCATACTTTATGCAGTTTACAAATAACTCCGGCATGCAACTTGCCACTAAAATCCCTCAATGGAGGAGGAAGAATCATCATCGTGAACCTTCAGGTTTGTGCTTGTTTGAAATATATCCTCAAAAGAGCATGATGGTATGCAATACAGAACCACCAAGTGTTGTCATTTTGTGTCAGTTCAATCTGTCGAAATTTGGAGAAACATTTATCTTTTCTGGAAACGAAAGCTTTTTCATAAATTCAAATCCCTTGAATTACTTAATTTAGCTTAGCTTTCAGCTAGTATGGAGCATACATCCTAGTAATCTGTTTGGTTGTATTATGAATGTCCTATACTCCAGTGTATACGTGCATAAACAGGAAAAGAAAAAAAAAAGGATGATAAAAAGTTAAGTGTTATGAAGTGACATCGGTAATAATGATCTAAGCTACTGAGTACTGTGTTAGCACACAACACAATTTGGCAAACCTCGTAAACTGCATCTTCTAGAATGTTAGAACCAAGACACATCATGATTTGAATATGTCAATTGCTTTTTCAGGAATTGAAATTATTCTGTATACTTTTTTAATTCTTGTGATGCAAGTATAAATTGCAATAAATTGTTAGAACAGGAAAAGAAATTTATAGTAGTTATTATTACTATGAAAACACAACTTCAGAGCTAGAATGGATAAGAATGTAATAGTTAACTCTAGGGCCAAAGGAGCTCCTTTAAGCTTAATGCTCATGATCGTTTATGTTGATTAGGAACCTTATTCAAAGTTTTTCCATATATTTTAGCTTTAAAGCATGGTAATTTTTGAAGGTTTTTCATTATTTAAGGTTTTCTTGTGGCAGTGAAGTTGCTAAATGGTTGAAAATAAAGATAAAATTCAGTCTTCTTTTTACCTAATGCTTAAAGGCAAGGCATTTTGAAAATCTTTCTTGTAACAAAGATTATTTAAGTTTGGCCTGGCTTTTGAAGAATCTTAAAAATGTAGCTTTGGTTATTCCCTGTGATGTGGCCACCTTACATATAAACTTAAAAATTATCATTGTTAAGTCTTACTTGTTGCATCAATAATTTCTGTATGGTTACTTGGATCCTCACAATAAACCACTTGTACTTATATTAAAATATTATCACATTTCTGTGCATTTTTTAAAAAATTAAATGAGATCCATGTTAGAAATATTTTATTTTATTGAGAAATTTTTAAGCTGTCTTACTTCTCTTGTATACTAAGGTAGTTGTTGAGATTCATGCTAGTTACTATATATATATATATATATTGAAAGCCCAAAAAGGGGCTAATATATTAAATATAAAGAAAGATACATATACAATGTGTGAGAGGACCCAGCATAACACCCTGCCCAAACAAAAAGCCACAGAACGTTTCAAAACTAGAAAAAATAGAAAATACAATAGATACTAAAATAAAAAATAAATAAAAACTCTAACAGTGTCGAAATACATAGTATCAGGCGGCTAGAGTGGCTAAAGAGCGACCCAATTTGATATTGCCTCTGCCTCTAATTTTAGGGAAGGAGCAAGCTAATAAGTTGGTAAGAAGATTGTCATTGCCAGTAGTAACCAATGTTTCATCCAATATGTTCCCGAGTTGGAGTCAGTCTCCATTCTTCTTCCTCCTGGAATAGACCTGTCATTCCTCATTCGAAGAATCAATCTGATGGGGTGGTAGAGCTGAAGTAGAAGGAATACCAACCGTAGTACCCACAATAGGTTCTAGTATATGTGGAGTATGAGTTGCCTCTACATCAGATACATTCTAAATAAATGGAGCTACGAGGCTCTCCTGATTATCAGTCTAAACACTATCATTTGTAGGTAATAGTCCATCAGTATTGTTTTCTATGGGGTTTGAAGGTGTCAACATCATAACACTCGCAGTAACAGTAACAACAGGGGCAATAGAATCAGACACCAAAATCTGTCCTGTGGTAGCCTTCTCTCCAGGTGGTACAGATATATCCTTAGATCCATCCTTATTCACTTGATCTTTAGATTTCAAATTCGGGTCAAACTTATGACATTTATCAAGAGTATGCCCAAACATCTTACAATGAGAACAATAAGAAGGTCTATGTTCCATGACAATTTGTTGCCAATATCCATTATGGGTTGTGCTCAACCAGACTTCAATAACTTCAAACAAAGTAATATCTCTTTCCATGAGTATTCTGACCACAGAAGGTCTGGTATGGTTGAAAGTGGGTAAATCAAGCTTCATAGGGTTCCCAAGTATGACACCAAAAGAGTAAATAACCTCATGACGAAAAAAGTGGCAGCTTGAGACCAGGTAGACTAAATCATATCGGTACAGTAGGAGGTTCATGATTGGGTTCAAAATCAGGAGACCACTTGAGTAGCTTCATAGATTTACCAGCAATGTTAAGATATTTTTTTGGAGAAAATACGAGTGTAGTCTTCAGACACGGTTAACTGAATCAATACATGTCTCCCATCCATGAGCCCCATTTTTCACTTTCCTGCTAATTTGATGTCATCAAAACTTTTCCTGATAACTTCCACAGCTGGTGTCCTCACTGAAATTTTCCAATGAGAACAAATTTGAATTTGTTAGTCAGGGTTGAAATTTCTGACGAAGAGAAAAAAGTGTTGTCTTCCCACTCTTTTTGCTTGCATTCTTAATAAAGGGGCAGCCACCTGTACCATCACGATTTTCCTTATAACTTGAGAGGAAGACAACCATCGTCTGCCCCTAAGGATTACCCGCAACGTGGGCAAAAGAGGTTTTGTCGGGTTCAACCGAAGAAGGTGGAAGCTCCATCACAGCAAGTCACAGCAAGGAGAAGAGCTTCAAGTCGGACAAAAGAGGTCGGGGGCGAAGCTGCGCAGAAGAGAGTAACTGCAAATGATATTTTAATATATATTTCTGAGCATTTTGCCACAACACTATTAAGGAGTCGTCTCCAAGGTCAAAGCCATGTGTTTAAGCCAACCAATATTTTGGTTAAACATTTCCTTGGAAAAGAATTTGTTGATAATTTCCTTGATTATACTTTTCTTTCAGAGAACGTAAAAACATAAAATAAATAATTAATCCTCAAACTATTGGTGTTGACCGCTCAAGATATACAATTGTTCATTCTAAAGGCAAGAGAACTTCAAAGTCAAATAAGTTTGGCTAGAATTTTCCAATAAATTTATTATAACATTGTGCTAATCGATAAAGAAAGTCCATATATAACTTCCAATATATAAAAGAAATCCTAATTAAGGATGAAAGTATTCTTATCCTTATTACATTCAAATTAATTTAAAAGACAAAAAAAATCTTTCTTAATTTGATTTTAAATTTTGACAAGAAGCATGCAAATGCATCCTTTTGTTTACATTATTTATTCTGTTTGTGTTTGCCCTACGAGAAACTCACCCTATCTGAGCTAATTTGATTGAATAGTTAAATCATACTTACGGTAATGTTTAAACTTGTTACTGAATGTTTTTATACAATACTCCTTTTAAGTGTTCTTAATTAATGTGTTCGTCACAGAGCATAAGTCGACTAAAAGCCACATACTAAGATGGTTTATTAAGTGATGCCGGAGTTAACCCAAATTACAATAAAAAAAATAAATATTATTACTAAAAACAAATAGACGGTTACATACAATTAAACACACTCGAAAAGAAAAATACAACACACACAACACACAATCTCACGTTAGGACGGATTCCGGGTGATAGTGGCTACAGTCAGAGGACTTGGTGAGGTGGCGACAAGGTAGGGAAGGAGTTTCTGGGCTGTGGATGAGGGGATGACAACGATTATGGGTGGTTGGAACAATAGCGTGACAAGGGACAACGGTCCAAAAATCGACAGTTTGCAGTTTGGGATAGCTGGATAGTAGGAAAATAACAAAGGGAAGACGTTGCAGACGCGGTGACGGTGGAGGGCAGTGAGGATGGAGGGCTGAAATGGCAATTACATTGAGTATGGGGCTGTTGAAAGGTCGTGGTTTGTCAGAAACAACAAGAGGGAGGAGTTGGTGGCTAATTCGGAAGTGCAACATGGAGTGTGGAAGGGAGGTAGTTGGGGAGAGGAGAACTACGGAAAAGAACAACAACAACGACTGTCCTGGGTGGCTGCAACGAGGAAAGAGGTGTAGCAGCAAAGTGAGGGGAGCGGGAACTGAAAAGTTGAGGATAAATACTTCATCGAGAACAAACTACAACTGGAGCATCACTGGACCCTTAGAAGAAGGTCACCACCTCAGACGAGCTACAGCCAAAGCACCACTCACCTTTAGATACAACCTTAGAAGGGAGAAATCAGGACACTGGCGACTATCCTGAACAGAAACATGAAAAAAGTCCCAACCTAAAGCATGATAATAGGATAATTCAAGGTTGTTAAACTCGGACCGGACATTGAACCGATAGAAGAAGAGGTTCAAGGTTCAATGGTTGAACCAGGATTGAACCAGTTCAACCAGATGACCTAATAAATCATAAATATATTTAAAAATAATAATACATAAGATTTACATCCCATTCAATTCATATGTATTTGAATAAATGATACCTAAAATTCAATTTTAATATGTGTCATTTTAGCTATGCATGAAAACATTTATTTCACTTTTTAAAAATTAAAATAGTGATATTTTTTATGTGATGTGGATAATTTGGTGGTATAAATGTAAAATAAAAAGAGTTTAGGTGTTAGATATGTAAATAAATAAAATTGAGTGGTATGTATGCAAATTGAATTTCTTTGTAATATTGATTTATTTTGATGTGATATGAGTGATTTGGGTGGTATAAATGTAAAAAAGAGAGTTTAGGTGTTAGATATGTAAAGTACATAAAATTGGGTGGTATGTGTGTAAATTCCCCGAACGTTTCCTTAGAATCGGAGTCGGTTCACTGGTTCGGGAGTTGAATCACCGGTTCAACCCTGTTCTGGGCTGTTCTATGCGGGTGGGGATGCTAATTGAAACCGGACCCATGTTCGGTTCACAGTCGAACTTGTCGAACTGGCAGGTCCGGTTTGGTTTTCTAAACACAGGGATAATTAGAGTGGACCAAGAGAACTGGCTGACTTGGCGTAAAAAAAATCTGGACTGGTTTGGTCTAGTTACGACTCAGGGCCCATTTTCCATCACGCGACTTCCCACGTCAGTCTTCATTCATCGGAATGCATCCCTTTCCCCATCATTTGGTTGATAGATTTGATGGCTACCTATTGGTGGGGAGGGTTTGATGAGAAATATTTACAATATGTTGATGAGAAATTATGATATTGTGTCTTGGACTCACTTAAATAGGATTAGAAGAGGTGTTCCTAAAGTTGTGAGGTTGGAATCTCAAATTTGCATCTAAGCCCTAGATAATGGGGATTATTGTTTATTTAGTTACCTCATTCTAAAGAGGATCTTAATGTCCAAAGTTAGTTTGCTTTTGCCCCTGTAATCTTCCTTTTTACCGGTTGTAAGTTGTAATATGAACCGTTTGAAGAATTAGATTACATTTTGACGATAATTTGTAGTGTTTGTTTATTTTATTTTAATTTGATTTACCACTTAAAGATGATTGTGGGAACTGTATCTCAAAATTGACCAATAAATTTGATCCTAATTCTTATGATGTTTTGCAGCCAACTCCTAAGGATAAAAAGGCTAGCCTTGTCATCCATGGCCAAGTAGATAAGGTAATTATACAATAAAGTGTGCCCATTTTTTTATCTTTTATATAGCATGCATTTATCTTGATTTGTTCCATGTGGAGAATTGTTTCTAAAAATTCTATCATTATTTGTTTTTTCAAACGTAATTCATTTATTGATTGCCATGGAAATACATTAAATTATTATGCATATGCTTTAACAGGAATAGATATCTTACTCAAGCTATCAGTGTTGTTTTAATGGTCCTCTTTCTGGAGTTCTAGTCCACCTTAATTGCATTAAATTGTTTTGCTGATATGAACATACATGAAAAATCTAATGATATGCAAATTGGAACAATGTTTGGTTTACCAACATATATTTTGCTTAAACCTATTTTAGAAAATATATATTTGAGGAGCCGTTGGATCAAATAAGGTATGGATAAGAAAAATTAGATGCCACGGACTCATTCATTATGAGGAAATATCTCTCTCATGGATTCATATACAATAAAGGGAAAAAAAAACAAGCCCATGTATTGGTTCCTAGGCATCAATCGATGATCTTTAAATAATTAAATAACATATAGCTAAAGACTATTTTTATTATTGCTATTGTAATTATATCTGTTTTTTTATTTCGTGTATAATTACCCATTGAAAGAAGAACAAACTAAATTTTCCTAGCCACATCTTAGATGGCAAATTGAAATTGTTTGTGGGTAATAACCGTTCAAAATGCATGTGTTTTTAGGGATTGATTTTTGCTCTAGCGATTAGGTTGCCACTTATGTCCATCTTCCTGATGTTTTATTCTATCTAATTTGCTTGACTCATATAATCACTCTTCCTTGAAATTTTTGTGCAAGTGTATCGTGTATCATCTTAGATGGCTAGTTAAAAAATCAATATTTTTGCTTTGGAACAATCTTTTGAATTGCAAGATATATCTTGCTTGAACGTGGAATATATATCTTAAGTTGGCTGCTTGAAAGTATAAAATTATTTCTGCTGATAATGTTCTAGCATGTTATTACAATCATTCTTCTTTCAAGCTGGTCAATGATAATATTTGTTGCTATTAATACGGTTGACGAGTTACTTTGTGTCATTGTTTATATGGCCACATAAGCAGCATCACTATGAACTAAAATGCCTGAAAGGACGAAACTCTTGAAAACTGCACATTGTTTATGATAGGGAAGAACCAGGTTTAGGATTTTCTGAAAGAAATAAACAAACAGTTTGATATTAATATTTTTTTCCGTTGTTATGTCCCTTTTATTTGCCAGAATTCTATCTAATCCCTGCATTACTAACTGCCAAAATTTGACCATCAGGTTATTGCAGGTGTCATGCACTTTCTGAATCTTCAGATTCCTCCATATGTTCGTATTGATTTTGTCCATATTAACCTTAAGCATTCTCCAAGAAGTAAGTTTAAGCCCTCTGATTGAACCCCTCTTCTTTTGGTTATTGGTAGGGTAGTACAAAAACTTTTGCTTTTATTTTTTTAATATTTTTTAACCCTTGTGATTCTTGTTTCTATTCATTATTTAATGTACTTCTAATAAACATACTGAAAATTATCATCATCCTCATTATCCTTCACATAGCAATGTTGCGCCTGCTGTGTGGTTTTCTTTTTCTTTTCCCCTCCTGTTCATTTCTGCCCGGTGCCATATGAAAATGGAAAACATTTCAGATTATCAAAGTCTTAACACATTGTCGGCCGTTTTTTTATTCAACTTGACTTTCGTAGTTTGGAAACGGTGATGATTTTGTGATTTTGAAAATAATTTAAATATAAATATAACTTTTTTAAAGAAGTAACGTTTTTTTAATTTTTAAAATAAGTGAGACCAAACGAGTCTCACATTTTAAATAGCTTAGATGATTTAACACAATACTACAAGCAATACACTTATCCCGAAGAATAAATATATTACTTTGTAATAGGGATTCAATCATCTAGACTAAACAATTTGTGACATCCGTTTGGTCTGCGAAATATTTTTATAAAAAGGCCAACAAGTTCCCCTATCTAACATAAAGATTAGATAGGGTTTATTTTATCTGGGTTCCTGGTTCCCTATAGAGGCAGACCCCTATAGTTAATTATATCTTAAATGATCGAAATCACTTAAGATAACTCTCGATTAAGATCAGGTGGTTTTG